AAGTTGTTAATGTTTCTTCCAGCAGTCTTAACCCCAGCCTTGCATTCATCAAGCCCTGCACATCGCATGTGTTCTGCATACAAGTTGAATAGGTTGGGGGAGAGGATACAACCCTGCCGTACACCTTTCCCAATCTTGAATCAGTCTGTTGTTCCATGGTCAGTTCTGACTGTTGCTACTTGGTCCTTATGCAGATTCCTCAGGAGAGAGACAAGGTGATTTGGTATGCACACACACACACATACACACAAACACACATAGACACATGTACACAAATATACACCCACACATATAGACACACAAAACACATACACACAGGAGATGGCTAGTATGTAATATAAAAAGCAAATATATCTGTAAAAACAAAAATTGTCATCCAGTTGCATCGTCAGTCATTCCATATATTCGTTTACGTCTAATTATGCTCCAGTAGGAAAAGCTTGCTCAAAGAGCCAGGTTTTAACTATTTTGCGGAATGTTAGAAGGGAGGGAGCCGATCTTATATTCCTGGAAAGGGTGTTCCATAGCCGAGGGGACACCACTGAGAAGGCCGTGTCTCTCATCCCCGCCAAACGTATCTGCAAGGAAGGAAGGATCGAGAGCAGGTCCTCCCCAGATGATCTTAAAGTCCTAGATGGTTCTTAAGGAGAGATACATTTGGATAGGTAAGCCAGACTGGAACTGTTTAGGGCTTTATAGGCTAAAGTCGGCACTTTGAATTGTGCCCAGTAGCAGACTGGCAGCCAGTGAAGCTGGCACAACAGAGGAGTTGTGTGTTCCCATATTTCAGGAAATAAAGCCTGACTGCTCATTGGCAGGAAGGAGATGAAGTACTTTGGCAACATCATGAGGAGACAGGAAAGTTTAGAGAAGACAATGATGCTGGGGAAAATGGAAGGAAAAAGGAAGAGGTCCCGACCAAAGGCAAGATGGATGAATGGCATCCTGGAAGTGACTGGCTTGACCTTGAAGGAGCTGGGGGTGGTGACGGCTGACAGGGAGCTCTGGCATGGGCTGGTCCATGAGGTCACAGAGTTGGAAACGACTGAACAAATGAACAACAACAACAACAACAACAACATGTTTTCTATGCAAGGTAATATCGTCCAGAATGAGTCCTGAATTGCAAATAACCTTTGGAAACTCTTGTTTCCAAAAACTTTCTGGCAGTGGGAAAAAATGCTAAAATAATTCATTTCTGCCTTTGGGAATTATTTATTTATTTATTATTTATTTAGCTTACTTATATACCGCTGTTCTCAGCCCGAAGGCGACTCACAGCGGTTCACAACAAAAATGAACAGCAAAAATTCAGTGCTACAGTATAGAAACAGTTAACAACCTAACACATTACACAATTAATAAAAAGTTATTACAATACCCATTCACTGTCGTCTCGTCATCAAAAACATGTTCCAGATTCGTCATCCATTGTTCCATTCCAGTGTTCATTAACCAATCATTGCACTAATTATTCGAATGCCTGCTCAAACAGCCAGGTCTTCACTTTTTTGCGGAATACCATTAGAGATGGTGCTAGTCTAATGTCCGTAGGAAGGGCGTTCCACAGCCGAGGAGCTACCACCGAGAAGGCCCTATCTCTCGTCCCCGCCAGCTGAGAAGCAGGCGGGATCGAGAGCAGGGCCTCCCCGGAAGATCTCAAAGTCCTGGTGGGTTCATAGGCAGAGATGCAGTCGGATAGGTAGCTTGGGCCGGAACCGTTTAGGGCTTTAAAGGCCAACGCCAGCACTTTGAATTGAGCCCGGTAGCAGATCGGTAGCCAGTGGAGTTGGCGCAACAGGGGGGTTGTATGCTCCCTGCGCTCCGCTCCTGTTAAAATCATGGCTGCCGAGCGTTGGACTAGTTGGAGCTTCCGAGCTGTCTTCAAAGGCAACCCCACGTAGAGAGCGTTGCAGTAGTCTAAACGGGATGTAACCAGAGCGTGGACTACCGTGGCCAAGTCAGACTTCCCAATTATGTACTTATGCCATGGCAATATCTTTAGCTCCCAACATGTTTTGTAGTTTGAAAGAGTGGAACATGTTTGTTTCAAGATCTTTGTCAGGAAAGATACTTGGAAGATCAACCCATCTGGCACAGTGATTACAACTGTTATAATTAAGTTGCTGGTCGTACTGAATTGAATATAGAGCAGAATCCCAGACAATCATTGTAATTCTGAACCATTTAAGGACTTCTCTCCCTTCCCCCTTCTAATATTACGCTGGTTAGCTTCAATAAAATCCAATTCCATTGAGCAGTACAGGAAATTGCCTTGTTATTTAGGGTCTCCCACGCCTGCCCCACACATCTAAAATTGGACATATGGCATGTGTTGAATTTGATTTCGGAGAAAACAAGATTAGCCTGTCAGCTGTATGCAAGGCAGCACAAAGGGAGTTGGATTCGACAATGGAAGTTGAACCTCTCTTTGTTCCAAATAAAGAAGTATGACTGTCATTCTCTATTACAGTTACAAATTCATAACCTAGAGCTCTGCATTCGCAAACACTATGTAGTCACGACAGTGGCGTTATTAAATGACCTCCTGGGCCAACTTTACCAAGCAGCCGCCTCACTAAGAGATGGGAGTCCTTTCCAACAGACAGTCAGGATGAAGGAGGATAACCTTTCCATCACCTTCCTCCCACCAGAAAGAGAGGCTGAAACAATTGGAAGAGGGACTCCGTCGCAGTTCCTTACTCTGCACTGACCTCCATCTCTCTGTGCAGCTGCTGTCTGTTAAATTAGGTTGAAGGGGAAAGTCAGGCCAAGAGATACCCACCTACATATTATGCAATCAGGATCAAGATTTTTGAGATTTTTGCATAATCTAGAATCATATTTTTCTTATTTGAAATAAACAGTGCCTTGGGTTTCTGGCTGCAGAGCATAACATACACTCTCACCGATTATATTACTGCAACGCGCTCTACGTGGGGTTGCCTTTGAAGACTGTTCGGAAACTTCAACTAGTCCAGCGGGAGGCAGCAAGATTGCTCACCGGAGCGTCATACAGGGAGCATACCACCCCTCTGTTGTAGGGCTGTCCAACCACGGAAAAATTTGTTTCTAAACTCGATTCGTTTTTAGGGGTTTGCGTTTCGTTATTTAAAAGAATTCTGAAATTTTTCTTTTAAAAAGTTCGATATTTACGAAATTAAACAATTTCGAAACAATAACGAATCGATTCGTTAATGGCGGACGCGATTGCGCAATACGCTAAAAAACCCTCCAAATGGGACAGGGGGAACTTCTGAAGCTTCCCTCTCCCTCTGTTGTTGACTGTTGGTGTGATAATTTATTTTTTATCACTGATAAAACAAACAACACTATAAAACTTGCACCAGACATACGGAAATAATAACGAAATAATAACGAAACAATTTCGAAACAATTACGAAACAATTTCGAAACAATTACGAAACGAATTGGAAAAATTCGTTTCAATTTTCAGTTGCTCCTGAATGGTTCAATATCGCTTCGTTATCAAAAAAATAACAAATTAATAACGAATTACGAAATTAACGAACAAAACCGCCCAGCCCTACTCTGTTGTGTCAGCTCCACTAGCTGCTAATCCAGTTCCGAGCACAATTCAAAGTGCTGGTTTTGACCTACAAAACCCTATACAGCTCTGGCCCAGTGTATCTGTCCGAACAGATCTCCCTTTATGTCCCACCCCGGAGTCTAAGATCTTCTGGGGAGGCCCTGCTCTCGACCCCGCCTCTATCACAAGTGAGGTTGGTGGGGATGAGGAGCAGGGCCTTCTCGGTGGTGGCCCCCCACCTGTGGAATTCGCTCCCCGGGGAAATTAGATCAGCGACATCACTCCTTTCCTTCAGGAAAAAACTGAAAACATGGATTTGGGACCAGGCATTCGGACAATCGTGCAGATAAAGAAAGGACTTTGAGAATGGCCAGGAAATGACTAACGGAATGGAA